CAAACTGACTTTTTTGATTTCGTCATTGAAGAGTTTCAGAAAGAGGGAACGGTACTCACCGAGGCGATTGCTCTGGATTTGAAGTTTGTGCTTCTATTCGCCAGCTTCGAAACGACGCCCCTAGCTCTAACTTTAGCTGTTAAATTCCTTTCTGATAATCCTTCAGTGCTGAACAAGTTAACAGTATGTGACATTATTCAGAGCTAAAATCCTTTATCTGAAAAATCCTCTTCCCACCAAACACACTTATTATTTCCACATTTCAGGATGAGCACGAGGCAAATCTACGAAACCGGGAAAAATACTGATTCCGGACTTACATGGAGAGAATACAAATCGATGACATTAACATATACTTTCCAGGTGAGACAATTGCAGGTTAAACTTCTAATAAGATCTATTATTTTCAATCAGGCTGTTTTATTTCCATACTGACAAGTACAAGTTCCATGCAGTTCATCAATGAAACAGTTAGACTGGCATATATAGTTCCTGGAATCTTCAGAAAAACACCAAGGGAAATCCATTTCAAAGGTATGCATTAAAATAAGCCACTCTCCAAATGTTATAATCAAGTTTTAGTCATTCAATTAATATGAAAACTAACACATATCAATAACAATGCAGGATATACCATTCCGGCAGGTTGGGAGGTAATGGTCTGTCCCCCGGCCGTGCACCTCAATCCCGAAAAATACCAAGATCCCCTCATCTTCAATCCATCAAGATGGGAGGTGTGTGAATACTGTAAATTGTGTCCTCAACCTGCAAGATCAATCCGAAAAAACAAATACTTTTGAGCTAAAAAAGATTGTAACATGTAACTGCAGGGAACAGAAATGAGTGGAGCCTCAAGGAATTTCATGGAATTTGGTGGTGGCATGAGATTTTGTGTAGGAACAGACTTCACTAAAGTGCAGATGGCCGTATTTCCCCATTGTCAGATTACAAAATACAGGTAATAGAATGCTGCTACATACTAAACATGTTCTTTGCCTGTTCGGAACCGATCGATGGATAGTAACTCATCGAGATTCCGAACCCTTTCAGGTAGGAACCGATCAAAGGAGGAAATATATTTTAAAAAATTAAAAGTTTAGGTATTATAATGAACTAAAATTAATAGTTAAATTACTAAATACTTAATTTATCCGAAATTTTATATTTTCATATATTTTACTTTTTATTTTTTTATTAATATTCTAAAATTTTTAATTTTAAAAATTTTATAAATTTATCCCTTAATATAAATTTTTTTTCGCACTCATATTTTTCTAATAAGAATTACACGTGCAACTCTTGTGGGTCTTATCATCTTATATGCCATTCAAACCAATTTTGATTCTTCTTTTAAATGAATGTGATTTTACTTTTAGAAATAAAAATTTAAAAAATAAATTGGTAAAATTTTAAAATTTTAAAAATAAATAAAAATAATAATTAAAAGAACTTATAATACAAATGAGTTCAATGTTGGAGTGGAGTAGAAAGTGAATAAATACTAATTATTAAGACGAAACTGAAATATGGTAAGTGTAAGAGGTGAAGCGAACATTATCCGGCAATTATGAAAAGAAGACAAAATCATCATTCGGTTTGGTTTCACCAGCATCGTCAACTCGCCATCTGTCTATCCATCTCCACCATTCCCTAGAACCCTAACTATCCAAATCCCCTGAGTGAAAGAAAAAAAACCCCGTAAATCTCTTTTGTTTCTAGATCTACCTGTTGTTGTTGTTGTTTGATTCTAGGACGTTTTATTTTATTTTGAGAATTACCAAAAATGGCTTCAACGACTCCAACGAACCGATCTTCGTCGGATGATATCGTCGATGCGACGCCTCTTCTCTCATCAACAAGCAACGGTTCGCGGGACGAGGCCACTGCACGTCGATCCGTTCGTCGCCAGAGCCTCCGTGAAGCGGCTCGGTTCCTGCGCCGAGCCAGCAGCCGAAGGATGATGCGTGAACCCTCCATGCTGGTTCGAGAGACCGCGGCTGAGCAGCTCGAGGAGCGACAGAGCGATTGGGCGTATTCGAAGCCCGTCGTGGTCCTCGACATTATCTGGAATTTCGCTTTCGTCGTGGTGTCGGTCGGGGTTATGTTTTTTAGCAGGGACGAGAGGCCCGAGATGCCGTTGAGGCTTTGGATAATTGGCTACGCTTCGCAGTGTTTGTTGCATATGGTTTGCGTTTGTGTGGAGTACAGGCGGCGCCGGAGGCAGCAGAGCTTGGGATACAGGTCAATTAATGCCGGCGAGGAAGGGATTCCCAGCCCAAGATCAAGGGTGGATTCAGAGCAGTACGTGTCATTGGCTCAGCTGGAAGAGAATAGTGGAAGGTACATATATTGTTACTTAAAAGAATTTGAGAAGCTAATATGATAGGGTTTTTTTTATTAGTTTTGAGTTTTATTTGCGAATTGGTAAGGTTTTTGGTAGGCATTACTTTCTTCAGTGATAAATTTCTTCAGTGATAAATTATATGATCGTTTTCTTTTTGGTTCTGGCCTTCTGGGGAAATGGAGAGGAATTTGGAATTTTCGTTCCGTTTGCTGGAAATTGGAATAAATAGGCTACATGCCACAATAGAGGAATTGGAAATCGGCTTATGTTTTCTTGTGATATCTGGATTGCAATTAGGTATTTGATATCGGTTGGGGATTTTCATGTATGCAAAGCATTTGAAAGTAGTTAAATTAAATGTTGAGAGCTTATTATGATCCTTAACAGACATTTAACCTCATCTGTTATAGCTTTAAGTTGTGTATGATATTACTGCACACTTAAATGGCTGAAATCATTTGAAATTGATGTTTCCAGTAGTGTTGCAAAGCATCTTGAATCTACGAACACGATGTTCTCGTTCATCTGGTGGATCATTGGATTCTACTGGGTATCTATAGGTGGCCAAGCGTTGGCACGCTCCTCCCCTCAGCTTTATTGGTTAGTAAGCATTATTCTTCCAGCTGTCTTTATGGTGTTTGAATGTTTTCCTCTATAACCAGATCCTAACTATTTTAATTATTATTTCCTCTGCAGGCTTTGTATAATTTTTCTTGGTTTCGATGTTTTCTTTGTTGTTTTCTGCGTTGCACTGGCATGCATCATTGGTATTGCTGTTTGCTGTTGTCTTCCATGTATTATTGCAATCCTATATGCTGTGGCAGATCAGGTAATTTTCAAATCCCGTGATTATATACGCCTTATTAGTTGTTTGTGTGCATTTGACACATGATTTTTGTGCTTCATATGTAGTTTAGTTGTTTGTGTGAATTTTGAACTTTCTACTTGGATCTGATTCAATCGAGGTGATTGTTTTAATCACCGTACACTAAATAACAGTTTTCTTTCTGGGTTTGGCTGGAAAGGTTTAATTAGTTAATAATTTCTGTAGTTGTATGGCTCTTTGATGCACTTTTCTTTTTACTGGCTTCATATGACCTCTTGAATCAGGAGGGAGCTACCAAGGAAGATATTGATCAGTTGTCTAAATTCAAGTTTCGAAAAACCGATGATAATGGGAAATCTGCTGGTGATGTACAAGGACCTGTTGGGGGAATAATGACTGAATGTGGCACTAATTCCCCCAGGGAACAAATGCTTTCCCCAGACGACGCAGTAAGCTGACATCTTTTGTATTTTTTTTCTGTTTACTTCCTTTATCTTCCTCCTACGAGTTGCCCCTCCAGAAATTATATGATGTTAAAAGACGACTATTTTATGACAATTCATTTTGGCCTTGTGTGAGTTGAAGGGAGTTTAAGTGAAGTACCCAACTGATATTTGATTCTGGGGTTAATTTATAGGAATGTTGCATTTGCCTTTCCGCTTATGATGACGGAGTTGAGCTAAGGGAACTTCCTTGCGGACACCATTTTCATTGTGCCTGTATAGATAAGTGGCTATACATCAATGCTACCTGCCCTCTCTGCAAATACAACATTCTAAAGAGTAGCATCCACGAGGAAGTGTAGAAGAACGGAAGCAATCCATTCACGGTCGATGACTCTGGTACATCTGCTTATGATTTTAGCTCAACAGCAGCAGTCTAATGTACAGCACTTATTATAGGCTATTCTATTATTGTCCTTTTGTGGTGGTGGTTGTAGATGTCATCTATCATAGTACTGGGGATAGTGATGATGAGTTTGTTTTAGCTATGGTTTTCATGTATATGATGATTCCCGCTGGCATCTAAAGCACTGGCTGAGTTGAACAACACGTTTCTTTCTCGTTTTTATTTTCATCATTCGATAATAACATGCACTGTCTACTATTGCTCAAGGCATCTTCTATGCGTTCTGAATTACATTGGCGGCTTCTAGACTTCTAGCACATATAAACAATGAAGCATATATGTTTAATTAATTAGATGACAAGACAGTACAAGAAACAGTGACGCACGTAACTGGTGAGTCTATTTTTAATAAGCAGAGTGATGCATATAACTGGTGTATGAAATAATTTTCTTTAGAACAGGGTTTAAAATTTCATGTCCAGATAAACATTTTTTGAAATTAATAAAAATCTGAAACTAAACTTTTATATCTTCAAAATATTAATACATGAAGGTGTCGTGTGTTTTTAAATAATTATTATTTTATTATTTAGTATTGTATTGTACTAAGATTCCAAATTAATTTTCATGATAAGGTTTTTATTTTTTTTATTTTACAAATGCATACGTGTATATATATAAAAATCTCAATTAATTTGTTGAAAGTTTCTTATTTCATAATGATATAAATTATGAAGTGCTATTTGAGAATTAATTTTATCTAATCAATTTTATAAAAATTATTATTTTATAATAATATCCGACCTCTAATAAAATTACTTAAAACAATTGATTTTATATAACAAATTGGTGTTGTATTATATTAATGCTAACAAATAACAAAAAAAAATTGATTTTATAAAAAAAAATAGTGGTGCAATTGTAATGCTCCCAAAGAAAGAAAGAAAATTTTTTTTCGTAGGCTTACTGAATTCTAATTATTCAACAACAAGAAGCTAAAAAATTGTTGTTCCCAATTAAATTATCTGAATAAAATTTCGAGTGAAATCTAGAACAAGCAGGAGATATTTTACGGCGCTGTATGTCTCGGAGGTGTTCCTTCTCGCCTCTTCGAAAGCAATCGTTAGCGAACTCCCATCGGTCCGGCATTACCTTCCTAAATCCCTAAAACAATAACGGTATCTTATAATAAATTAATTTCTCATAATGAACTAATTATACTTTTGCTATGAGCAAACTCTTAACACTTACATATGTGTTGAGTTGGTGTACGAAGCTGGAGAAGTTGATATGTTTGAAGTATTTAGGGAGCAAATCGCGAGCGAATTCCGACGGCTGCCAAACGATGAAAGCCGATCCATCTTCATTCCATGAAATCAAGTCATCAACGGAGGGATCGTCGACTAACTGATAGGTTTTCATAAGGAACGGAGTCGGTAAAGATCGCTGCGAGTCGGCGGCAACACCGGCTGCGGATTCGCAGGCCATGAGGTTCGGTCCTGTCTAAAGAGAGAGATTCCTCCGCCTCTACTTTAGTTCCTGAACTGCTGCTGATTAAGAAAAATAATAGTGTACGTTTTAGCCGAGAAAGCTCTTGAAGATAGAATAAATAAATGAACAAAGATATATCTTGGATGCTTCTAGCTGAAAATATCTACTTTAGTCGTTCAAATTCAACACTGAAATTCATTTATTTATTCAGATTCACAGAAATGGAAACAGTCTCCCGCTGCTGTGATGTTTTGATATAATTGATGAACAAATATTATAACATCAACCCGTTTCTTCCGTCAATCATAAAGAAAAACATTAAAAGAAATTGAAATGTTCAAATCTAACAGGGAGATGTCAAAATATTTTAACATTCGTACCGGGAACGAAAGCAAAAATTTTCCCACCAACCAAACAAGTAACAAGAAACCTGGCTCGCGCGGTCAGACACCGTTGAATCAAAGGTTTTCAACACAATATAGAACTGAAAGCCGGCATGTTGACAGAGAGGGGGAGGATGGCAGGCTAGGTTTTGTTATTTCTAGAAGTTTCTGGGTGGAGTGAATGATAAGAGAAGAAACTAACAGAATTTGAGAAGGAAAGGGGATATCGAGAGACTTAAATTAAGAGAAAAGGGAGAATTTCTTTTTTCGACCCCTCTCGACTTCATTTATGGTCAGTAATTAAAAGTTCGGGGGTAGGAACTCATTTAAAAAAGTAGTAGAACCAAACAACAGCAAAGATAGTTATCGAACAGCAGAGGGAGCAAGGTAACTCCTAAGATTACACCTCAGGGAATTAGTTTGGAGGTTGGATGTTCGAATGATCATGATAGTGTTGCCATGGAAGAAGTTTTAAACACTCAAGTGACACAAGAGAAGAAAACGCCTGGATGCCAGGGAAACTCATCCCTCAAATCAAAACAGTTGTAAAGATGATATCTTGGAACTACATAGGTGTGAGAAATAACAAGTTTATTAGAAATTGTAAGGAAATTATCAATGACGAGAAACCATCGATTATTAGTCTTCTACAAACAAAATCTCCCGTGGGAATTGGATTTTCGATCCAGAAAAAGAAAAGTTACGCTTCGAAAATTTCTTGTTAGAACAGTTGTGGCGGGAGGAGCTGGCGAGTTTGATGGAAGATCCGAGGATAATATACACTGAGGAAATAATTTTCCCGTCGTTACCGTCATTCACTGATCAGAAACCGACGCCGGTTGCTGAGAGTGATCATGAAATGAAATCGTCGGAGGCCTTGAAGGAACAAGTGAAGGAATTGTTAAAACCGTGGTGCGAGATGATTCTAGAACTTGGAAGAGGATGTAGAGATGTTTTGCAGCAAACGGAACAAGTGAAGGAATTTTTGAAATCGAAAGTTACTGAGGATTCGTTTATAGTTCAGAAGCTTGGTGGACCCGTGGCTAAGGTCTCTAGTCAGTTGAATTTCTTGAATGAGTTCTTGCCTCAGGAACATGATCCTATTCACGCTTGGCCTGTTATCTTCTTTGTTTTCATCCTTGCACTTTCAGCTCTAAATTTGAATGGTGCGCATGATGTATCGGCACCACCAGTAAAGAAAGTACTTGTTCATCCTCCTAGCGCAAGCCGAATCCAGCTCCCTGATGGCAGACACTTGACTTATCGTGCAATGGGTGTTCCAGTGGACAAAGCTAGATTTTTCTCTTATTGCACCGTTATTTCTACATAGTAGTATAATTCTTTTGTGTGTTTAATTTTGTATTCATTTTGTTGCTTTTGTTGCTTCTATCTCAAAGTGTCATGGAACTTGAAAGTTTCACAGTCAAGAGTCCATAAAAAAATATGTCAAGAAACCTTGTAAAAGAGGGTGAAGAATAAAGAAATGAAGGTGAATAAGAAGAACGAAAGAAAGCATCAGCACTTTCGATTCAAAGTGAACGTAAGGAAGCATCGGCACTTTCGATTCAAAGTGAACGTAAGGAAGCATCGGCACTTTCGATTCAAGAAGAACGAAAGGAAGCACCGACACTTTCGATTCAAGTGAACGGAAAGAAGCGTTAGTACTTTCGATTCAATTGTTCATCTTTTCATCAAGAAGGTTGAGAAAGCAGGGAGAATGTTGAGAGAATGATGCAGGCTCACGTGGATAAAGAGTGTGCTTGTGTAATGCCATGCATATGCATGCAGCTCATGCATGTCCAGGTTCTAGAAGTTAGTCTAGAAGCTAGGTTGTTATGAGTTTGTTAATCAGTTAGGAGGTTTTTTGTGTTGCTAAGGCTGTGTATAAAAACAATATTGTATACTGTGTTGAGTAGAATTCTTGTTAACGAAGCAATGAATTAAAGAACTCTTTCCTTGCATCTTGAAATCCAATATAACCTCATCCTATTAAAAAATTATGCGGACACAATGAACATACGTTAGAGTGTGACGGGATTTTAATGATATCGCCTCTATTGAAGACAGTGTGGGAGTAATGCTGATTGTCTTGACCGAATTATTAAATTTTGAGAGCATTGGGATAAATGTAACCTGATGGATGCTGGATGGACAGGTAATAGGTTCACTTGAGTTAGAAGCTGCCATGGACAGAGCATCCTACAAGAATGATTAGACAGGGCTTTATACAACATCGAGATGATTGACCTTTTCCCTAACCTTCAGGTGACGGTCCTTCCAAGACATTACTCTGACCATCATCCAATTTTGATGGATTCATACTTGGTTTGCACTGTGGACAAAGAGAGAAGACCTTTCCGTTTTGAAGCTTTTTGGTTAACTCACCCGAAGTTTAATGACGTTTTTAATAGAGCTTGTACTTGTAAGAAAGACTCGATTATGGATGCTATTGAGGAATCAGTTAAAGAGATAAATTTTTTTTGGAAGGCTTTGACCTTTGATAATATCTTCAAACAGAAGCATACTCTGCAAAATCGTTTAAAAGGTATCCAGAAGTCATCAAACTATTTTAGATCAAGGCCCCTACAGAAAATTTTGAAAAAAAAAGGCTTAAACAAAGAGTTTCAAAGGATCCTTAACCAAGAATAAAATTTATGGTTGGTGCGGGAGGAGGAAAAAACAAAATGAGAAGTGACGTAGGAGCAGCGGAATATTCGTCCGTTAACGGAGAAATCTGGACGGTTTTTGTCAACAACCTAAGTAGAAGAATCACTTTGGGAATATTTTAACAACCATGGAAAGGTTGTCGATAAGACAAGGTACAACAACTCCACTTTTACTTTCGTTCAATTCGACTGTGAGAAGGACTGCCTTAATGCTATTAAGAAGGTGGATGGAACTTGGATCAACGGGAAAAAGGGTTTCTGTGGTGATAACCAAATATCAGAAGACTCGTAAAGGAGAAGCTTCTCCAGGTAAGGTGGTGAAAGGATCAAAAGTGGCTTCTGGATGAGTTAGGAAGACAAACAGAGGTCGGGAGGGATATTTTGGAAGCTTGCGAGACAACAGATCATATATGGAAGCTCTGATTAGAAACCAAAAGTCAGACAGTTCCCACACAAGCAAAAGACCCCCGGTGTTTCACGGTAACGTGGGAGGAGGAGAGAAGAAGGACCTGAGGACGTATCTCCCCTCAAAAGGTTTCGTTCAAAGGGCTCTCTTCAATGATGGAATCGACGTCAGAGTAGCGAGATGGGGTTATGCTCGGAACTCATGTCTTATCACTTTTCCATCGACGGAAGTATTGCAAGAGACGTTGTCAAACAAGAAGGTCAAATTATCGTATTGGTTTGAACGGTGGGATCACCAGGTTATGGAGGATGACATTCTCATGGCTTACTGCTCCATTGACCTCATTGGTGTCCCACTGAACTGCTGGCACGAGTCATTTTTCTCAAGTTTGGTGAATCAATGGGGACGGTTAATCTACATCGAGGAGGCGACGAGGAACAAAGAAGACTTGACGGTTGTGAAGATGTTAATTAGGATTGCAAGTCCTTTTTATGTCCCGAGGACTATCTCAATTTGTTTGAAAGGAAGATCGTATTCGATTATTCTCAAGACGGGAGCAACCACAATCAACTCAGTGGATTTTTCTGGTAAGGAATCCAGGGAAAACTCAGAAGATATATGGAATTTAGAATCATCGGAAAGCGAGGAGCATGGTGGCCAAAATTTTTAGGCTGATCTGGACAACCAACCGACTTTCTTAGAGACGCAGAATAGGATGGGCTCATGGCTTAATGAGGGCAGGACAGGTGGCATCTAGGGGGAATGAATCTGACAACAATCTACCCGCTTGCCCGAGTCACCCGTCATTGATGTTGGAGGGGAATAGGAAATATTAATGACAAAGAGACAGACATCCAAAATGCTCTGATTGCCTTAAATAAAGATCGTGCTGGCATGGTCTTAGGAAAAAATTGAACTCATTTTCTGATGGGCATGCTCAATCTAGCCCAGAGCCCGTAAGTGCTGCCTCAAGGAGTTCTCTCTTATCCTCTGATTCTGAAATTGTCCTAGACAATTTGACTGAGGTGTGCAAATTCGGGTATCCGTATCTTCGAGTAATTAATTTCTCGGCTCGTATCCTGACCCAGATGTTGCGGGTACTCGGTAATCGGATACCCGAATACCCTATTTTTTTTCTTCAAATTATTAATTAAAAACACACATAAATTTAAATATTTGAAATTTCGAATTAAATAGTTCAACATCCAAACATAATTAAAAAAATGTCATGTTAGCATCATTGTTCATTTTTAAATATAGGCGACCAAAACATAATCAAAACGTAACATTAGGTATAATTTTGAAAAAAATAATTATCGAGTGATCAAAACATAAATTAGATAATATATAAGCGACCAAATAGGTAGTTTACCCTAAATAAAATATTTATGAATTATATTAGATAATATAAGTGACCAAATAGATAGTTTACCCTAAATAATAATCGAGTGACCAAAATAAAAATAAGAAAATATTTAAGTGACCAAATAGGTAGTTTACCCTAAATAATAGTCGAGTAACCAAAACATAAATTTGATAATATATAAGT